AAAAAACTAATTCTTTGAAAAATTTGGAAAAGGGATAGGAAGTTGGAAAAACCTAGGAAGGTGGTAGGTAGGAAGGGAGATCGCACCAGATGAGGATTTTCGGAGAAGGGGGTCGTACTGACACCGTCATTCCATACGTCACATTACTCATCGTGCTGATGGCTGTGACCGATCGTTCCCTCTCCGCAGCGCTTCCATCACCATTGATGTTGACGCCACTTACTTGCGTCCTAGCCACTGCCTTTGATATCATAGAAAGTCCGTAGGGTCATACATATGAGGCTGCTTTTGTTTCAGTCTCGGCTTTGGTGGAAAACGAAGGCGGTACATGGGGGTTGAAAAAAGTAACACTGGACGAATATCTCAGAGCAACACCCGAAGAACGCGAGGAAATGGGCCGGTGGTATGGTGGCATCAAGAAGCTCGAGGTAAGTATTAATAACTAGGCTCCAGTTCGGCTTGGGAGGGGCGTTTTGCACTTTTGATGGTTTTCACTTGGTGAGTCCAGTGTAAAAGTTCGTGGAGCTGCAAAATGGCACACTGGAAGGGTCACTCTGGGTCAAAATAGTTCACAAGTCTTCACAAAGACCCACACATGCTTCGCTGTGTACCATCTGGTGCTCCACCAAACCGAGCTGCTCAGTACTGTTTGATTTTCCAATGCAGACTTAATTAATCATTTGGCCAAGGTTCAGGATACGAGATGCAACTGTCTTCTCTTGAAATCTCCTATCTCGGTCCAGGAATCCAAGATCGGAGTTCTTAACTTGCAAACCGCGCTATCCAGTCGCAGGGAATCCAAGATCAGAGTCCTAACTTGCAAACCGCGCTAAGCGACGTAAATGCCATTGAGCCATCCCTGTTTCTAACAAATTGTATGCCAAATATTGTCATCAAGATTTCGTTAGTTTTCTAGAGTGCTCAAAGATATACTCGACGATGATCGGGTAGGCACGCGGAGACTCGCAACCGTTCAGTTCCTCGGCGGTTGACCATCTTTGCAATGCGAAAAATAGAGGAGGTGCGTCAATGTGGAAGACAGAACGATCGCAACTCTCCTCCTATTGACCCCCTCCCGCTCCCAGGATCGCTGAATGGGTCTCTGAGTGAGCAAATAACAGAGCGCTGTGATCTTCAAGTATCCAGAAAAGTTAGAAACCCTCTTTAGGCCGAAATGGAGGAAGCGATCAACAAAGCAGATGCACATTCCTATGTGTGGATCAAACGGCACAGCAAAAAATGCCCTCACTGCGGAATCCCGATTCAGGTGAGATTCAAATTTGTGTGAAAGAGAAGGGATAGTCGTTTTCGCTGCAGACGCTGAGGCCTGTTAATGGGGGAGAACGACAAAACAGTCGTAGTTTGTCACGCCGTCGCGCGCGGCGTATCGTGCGGCGATATGCACGGAATCTGCGATGTGTGTCAGCTTTAAAATTTCCTCGTCTTTAACAACTGAATTCAAACAGCAGGCAGGACATCTCGTCCGTCTTGCGCGGCGCCGTTCGCCACGCCCATCAGCGCGACGTATTGCGATTTTCTTGTCACATAGCCTTTCAAGGGGGAGGGGTCTGGGTTTGGCGCGGGCCAATCCGTTTTCACCACTTATTGTCATTTGCCCGCTTCAACAGTTGGTGGAGAATGGGCTGGCGCCGCCCCAGTAGCGCCCTGGTTCATCCCAGCCTGCATCGAAAACGCAAACTTGAGCTTCAATGTGAACGATGGTTCATCACATAATTGGAAGTGGCTGGACCCAGTCTTTTGGTTCCAGAAAAAAGATGGATGTAACAGGATGCCCTGCTCTATGTGCAAAATTAATTTCTGTTGGACTTGTACCAAAATATTGGATGAACAAAATCTTTATGGTCATTTTAATGGAGGGGTACGTTAATCACATAAGTTTCAATTCTCATCATTCTTATAATTTTAAAGGCTTGTCCGCTGCATCGATGCTATGCATGTAAGGGGGCTGGGTTTTTGTGCGACGGCAGCCCGTTCTCCTGCAATCGTGGGGAGGGAAGGCGACAGTAATGGGTGGAGAAGCCCAGCATCCGTGGCGGACAAGTCTGTGTTGATTTGATGCTATGGTGCTCACAGATCCCAATTCTCATGAAGCAATGTTTTCAGAATTGTCGCGTTTACCAAGACTGACGAGCTGAGAAACGGGCAGAAATTCTTGTCCTTCGGATGGACTGCACTAATCCAACTCTCAGTTTTGATGTATAATTCATGAATTATAATTATTAATGAAGACTTCCTATCAAATGAGAAGTTCAAGGCTGATGAGGTATCTTCCTCAGTGCCTATACTTCATTGAATGATTTCTTTTAGGGCTCGCTTTTTCTTTTTGCTTTCTGTTCCGAGATATTATATATGATGTGAAAGGCACCTCCCTTTGGAATTATAGTAGCGCCTTTTCGGATGGGGGCGCCCTCGAGCTTTCTTCAAAGCGTGGAATCCTTGTACACGAATTGGGCTCGCACTGCGCGAGATTTGCTGGGTAAGCCGCAGTTCATGCCAGCCTCTGTCATATGTAAGGCAGCTCCGTGGGGGCGGAGCTCGCAGTGGTGTCTGGCGTGATCTGGTTGGTGAACTGCCCGGTCTAAAAAGAGTGGTGAATTTGATTTGAAAAGTGGTGAATTTGGTTTGAAAAGTGGTGAATTTAAAGTGAAAATGGTATATGTAGTTACCATCACTGAAGGTTAATAGGGGTGCGCCAGGGGCTGCATTTAGCGCGACACCACTTTTTCCATTGATGATATTGGCTTTGGTTGTTTGATAAGTGAACACAGAGATGCTTTCACAACGCCAAAGCTCCCACGCTGATGGCACGCCCTGACATTGTTTACTTGATATAGACCGTAGCGCCTGCTGCACAAGCGCCGCGTATCAGTGACCATTCGAGGCGCTATACTTACACTTTATTAAATTCATGACGGACATTTCTAGCGCCTATCGAGAGATTCATGGCACGCACCGCGATGTGGGTAGCCTGAATCAGCAGATAGTCGTATGTTCTCGCCACCGTAGACCACTCCTATTGAACTCCGCCCGACCGGGTAATTGAGGGGATTCAGGTCAGGTGACCTACTTGGATATTCCATCTTCTTTAGGTACTCAGCCCCCTTCCATTCCAAGTAGGCGAGTGTTTCTCCAACGCCCTTCGATTTCATGTGGTGGCATCTCAATGTGTAGAAGTTTGTGGCAATGTTGTGCAGGATAGCCGAAGTGGTTAAGAGTGTAGACTCATAATCTCACTCTGAGCCACGAGTTCGATCCCTGCCGAGGCACAAACCTGCCTTGCAAAAATTGCAAAAATGGGGACGATACCAGCGTCAGGCCCAGGTTGACAGGCCGGCTGATGGAGGAACCCGTCACAACAACCATGAAAAGTCGCAATAGAATCAGTGTAAAAGCTAGGACGTTCAACCGGAAGTTAGACGGCGCGCCAGACCCGTCGCCCGAGTTTCTGTGGTCAGTATAAGAGAGCTACGAGGCTCAGTGAACGACCTCGCCAAGAGCTATTCGAATGGGCCCTGCAACGTGGGGTCGTTACCAGGGGAAGTTCTCGTGGATAGTTGCCGACCTCATGAGAGCGAATATCCAAGTCGCTTGATGCCTGGCAGGAACGCGATGAAGGGTGCGAAGAGCCCGCTGAGATCGGGAAGAAGTGTCAACTCTTTCTACAATGGAGCAGACACCAACGGATGGCGCTTCTACCATAGCGGTGGCAGAATCCCTCAAGGACTGCGTCTCCACTGTGAACAGGATCAGTGACCGGATCATGGGAGTGAGAATGGACACGAAGGAGGTACTGGACAGTACTGACCGTGTACGCACCACAATCCGGTTGCTCTGAAGCCGAAAAGGATGAGTTCTACCTGACCCTGGACGAGGCCATAAGATCGGTTCCGGAAGAGGACTATCTCACCATAGCTGGAGATCTGATATGGCATTTGGGAGGGAACAGACGGGCGTCTAGAAGGAGTGACGGAGGCTCAAGGAATAGGGACAAAGGAATTTGTCGCGCTAGGGAGGACGAATCCTCAACTGGCAACAGCCCACGACTTGCAGTCATGCAGACTTTTCGCCGAAAAGGAGGACCAAAAGTGTAACCTTACAGCAGTGCGGGGGAGGACAAACGGAAAATCGACAGTCATGATGTTGAGTCAAGAAGATCGTCTCTCAAAACCATCAAGGATATCAAGGTACTGCCTGGGAAGAGCTGGGCCCTCAGCACAGGCCTCTCCTGGCAGACATCGCCATAGACCTCCCCAGAAGGACGCACGAGGGTGAGAGCAGAGCGGAGAATTCGGTGGTGGAAAATGGGCAGGGTAGAAAAGGATAGCCTCGGCCGAAGAATACTGGAGGCTGGGCTCCCAGACCCACATGGGCCAGTCCAGGACACCTGGACCTACGCAGCAGAGGTCATCCTACAGTGTGCAAGGGAGGTCCTGGGAGAGACGCGAGGTGGTATCAGAGGAGACAAGGCAGCCTGGTTCTGGAACGAGGAAGTCCAGAGGATCGTCAAGCAGAAGAAGGAAGCATACAAACGCTGGCAAAAGACACGGAGCCCAGAAGACTACGCTGCCTACAAGAGCTGCAAGCGACTCGCTAAGGCGGCCGTTGCTAAGGCCAAGAATACGGAAATGGACGCCCTGTACGACAAGCTGGAAGGCCGAGAAGGGGACAAGTTCGTCTTCCGCCTGGCTAAAGCTCGGCATCGCGCAGCTCAGGACATCAGGGTCGTAAGACTGTGAAGAGCAGCAACGGGGCCATTCTCAGGAAACCAGCCGAAGTCAGGAAGAGGTGGGAAGAATACTTCGAGGGACTTCTGAACGAAGAATTCCCTCGCAAGGATAGCCCACAGATAGAGGCGACGGCAGGTCATCACTCCTGGACGAGGATGAAGTTCGCCGGGAGCTAGGGAGAATGAAAGCTGGGAAAGCAGTGGGTCCAGACGGGGTACCGATAGAGGCATGGAAGGCCCTGGGAGAGCATGGGGTGAGTTGGCTCACAGACTTCCTAAACAACGTAACAGCTGAAGGAAGGATGCCGAATGCGTGGAGGAGCAGCACAATCGTTCCCATCTTCAAACAGAAAGGGGACGCGACGGAGTGCTCCAACTACCGCGGCATCAAGTTGACTATCCCATACCATGAAGCTGTACGAGCGCCTGGTCAACACAAGGCTAAGGGAACTTGTCTCGATCTCGCAGGAACAGTTCGGCTTCATGCCCGAGAGGTCCACCACCGATGCCATCTCTTCATCGCCAGACAGCTG